TATATATGCAGTTGCAATGATCTCGATCCAAATCACATAACAAACAGATAGAGAGGGAAACAAAACTATTCACATCCAAATTGATTTATCAAACATGCATTCAAGAATCCAATACTCCAATGAACGCCTAAAGTAGCTTTAACAGAAAGTCATCGACTACCATGGTTTCTCTGTATTATTTACCACATTTCACAGAAATTTAGGGTCTACTCAGTAACTATATGGTTTTAGGTTTTTATTTCAATTTTTATTGTTTGAAACTTGAGGCCTATTTGGTAACCATTTGGTTTTCAATATACATCTATATACTACTAATTAATGAAACCCTCTTTACCAACCAAAAGAGGATGAAAAGACAAATTAGTCTTCTATCACACAAAAAAAAATGATAGGCAATAATGTGAGGAATTAGTCTTCTATCACACAAATTAGTCTTCAATATATATACCTGTGAAATTACATTGTTGCCCATAATTTTTTTTGTGTGATAGAAGACTAATTTGTCTTTTCACCCTCTTTTGATTGGTAATGAGAGTTTTATTAATTAGTACAGATAAAGTGAGAAAAATAAAAAGATAAAACATTCAAAATACCCTCATTTCAAAATAATAATAATAATAATAATTATTATAATTATTATTATTATAGGACTATCCTAATATAATACGGTTAAATGGTAATACACAAATATAATAGGGTTAAAATTGTCATACAAAATATAAAACATTGAGAAATGTTTAGATGCGGACAATATATCTGCACATATCATAAATGAGAATTTACAACCATCAAACGCAACGCATCAACACTTTGAAATTAATTGAGACCCTTGGATTACCCATCACATAAATAATGAATTACATCCTTTCCTTCCTTTCTCCATTGGAATTTCAAAAGGAAGAGAAGGACATAATCTCTTCCACATTTTCAGCATTAACAGCACATTCTTTGCAGTTACATGGAGAATCAATAACACTTAGTTTTAACTGCTATTTTCGATTTCCAATCTCCCACGTATTCACATGAAACTCACATGAATTTCATTCCAATCAGTATTAGAGTTTTAGTTTCAGGCCTTTTGGAAGCGCGGGACCGTGTTATACTATTTGGATTAATTTGGGAAGATTCTTGACGCAAAAGGCTTTTGTCAACCATTCATATCCATCTTGGGTAAAATCTCATATCTCAAATTCTATTTTAGAGTGAAAGCTTTGTGTTTTTTTTCAGTTTTTTTCATTCTCTCTCATTCTTTTTGTTATAGGCTCCAGACTATTCTATGCGTGCTAATTGCAACCATTGGACAAGAAGCAGAGTTCAAAGCCTTGACTGATTTTATAGGTTTTTTTTTTTTTATTTTTATTTTTTTTTATTATTTGTTATGCAGACTGATTCAGTGTAAGTTTGAGTTTATATGAGTTTGTATTCAGCATCTCTCTAAATAAATTTTAGTTTGTATTTACTAACACGAATCAAAGAACAAAGGTTATCATTATCAAGGGTTCATATTATTGTGTTAATTTACACTGTATATTATTTTGATAAAAATAATTGCATATTTTATAGGGTTTTAATATGCTGATGGCAAAAAGTTTAATTTCACTCTAACCAAAATTCTATTTACTCCCAACCCTTCTCGTTGGGATACGACGACTTCTTCTTTGACGCGGTCGTAGAATGAGGTCCAAGGTGACTAGGCTATGCAAATTACTGAGCCTCCAAGACGGAGAGGGTCGGGATGAAGATCAAAGATGTATGTCGAAAAGAAAATACTAAATTTTTATTGTGTTTTTTTACTAGCACCCCACATAAGGTTGAATACACCTCATATTAAAATTTGATATTAAATGACTTATATACCTTACTTTGTAATGACAATTTTGACCTCATAAAGTTTTAAAAAAAAAATTAAATACATCCCAAATCATTTTTTACATATATCCCAAGATTATTTATTTTCTTCAACTCTTAAAATCACTCTCCCTCTCCATTGCAGAACAAACCGTAATCAATAAAACTACAAACACATTGATTAAAAAAAATTATTTTTGACGAAACATGAAATCGACGTTTCGGAAGCTTCACATAATGTGAAGGTTTCATATTTTTTTTATTATTTTAGTGACTTCATCAGCATGCCTATAAATTGATATCTCTTTGAAAAAAGTAAGGTCAATTCATGGATAACTCTCACCCCTATCTGTTACTGCTTGCTGGGGTTGTGGCTCAAGATTGAGAGGCCTAATTATGTTATTTTATAATTATCTTATTGTTATGTGCTTCAGCCTGCATGCCATTGTGTTTGTGATTGTGCCCCCACTCACAGTGGAAGCCAGGCGGGATAATATGGCCGGATGATCGGCATGAAATCGACTCTCACCCTTAAAGCATCTACTCAGATGCTTATGCAGGTTAAGGAGTTTCGATTGGCTTTAAGCTTTCGAGGGCTGAAATTCTTCTATCCAATGAATCATGGAAGCATTTTTGGTCAATTTTCTACATAAATTCTACCTTTTAAAACTGGTTTCATTGTTTTGTGATTATACAGAAGTAAAAAATAAAATATGTATTTGCACCTAAGACGTGAAAAGTGTGAGGTTTATGTAGAAAAGTGTGGAATGTATGTAGAAAATGTAGGATGTAGATAGAAATGTGGGATGTATGTAAAAAATGTGGTGTGTATTTTGAAAGTGTGGGGTGTGAGGGTATTATGGTAAAGTATGTGGGGTGTATTAAGATAAATTTTAATTAAAAAACCAAGTGTGAGGTGTATTAAGTACGTGGGGTGTATTCAACAATATGTGGAATATTAATAAAACAAGCCAATTTTTATTTTTTTTCTTAAATTTAATTTGATGGCAATTTAAAGCGTTGGTTTGTTTGCTATCATTTAGACATAAACTTCTACTTTTTAGTGGCCTTTGCTATGTAAGAGATTGATCAAGAACAACATGTTTAGCTTCACTCTATTTATGTGCTTTTCTCTTTTCAAGTTGGGAGGCTTAAAATATCTCAGTTCAAAGACAAGTTATTTTGACTTCTCCAATTATCCCATGAAAATACAAATTTGGGAGAATCAAGAAAAGGTTAAATTTTATTTGCATATAAAATAAAAAGAGTGCATGCATTCAACATCCACGTTCGGAAGCCAAGAAGGGGATTGAGTTCATATGATTAACAAACACGATTATCCATAGCATAGATTATTGACCCGTTGAAATGTACTTTTCGATGGTTTGGCATACAAATTTGGGAGGATCAAGAAAAGAATGAGACTGGATAGTAGGTCATTTCATCTTATTTATTTGTTAATTTTATACTCAAAACAACATATGAAGGAGCCTAAGTCTTTTCCATGATCATGGTGGAACTGTGTATGTCTGATAATAATAGTTTATCGTACTGGAATTTGGCTGTTTAGCTTGGTAGCTAATTGTTTGTGTGGGTTGTTAGAAAACACTAGAGAGAGTGAGACAATTTTATTTGATATGGGATTGGTTAAAAGAAGAAGACAACGTGTTTTTTCTCAATAAAAATGCAAGTTTCATTAAACGTGGAGCGACCAACCAAGTTTAGTGAGTTTGTATGTAACCTAAAAGTATAGTGTCACTATTAATGCCTATATCAAATGGATAACAATGGTAAACACAACACATCTTTAGGGGCACATAGTGCCCGTGATTAAAAAAAGGCCTCTCTCATGAGCGTGAGTGCATTGCATTCAACCCCGTTCTTACCTTCCTTCCTTCCAGAATTCTCCCTTACCAAGTCTCAAGGATAGAAACACTATACGATTCATTCAATAGATAATTGTCTTAGTGATATCATAGGTGACATAGATGATCGTTATGTATTCAAACATTATACAATTCATTCAATAAATAATTGTCTTAGTGATATCACAGGTGCAATCGATGATCATCATGTATTCAAACACTATACGATTCATTCGATAGATAATAGTCACCAATTATAAGGTGTTATTTCAACCTCAAAGTCATAATTACACCTGAATTTTTTTTCAGAGAAAAATCATCGATTTAAATATTCCACCACATTGGGGAAATCGACAGGCTTAAGAAAATGTTCACCTGAAATATCTTAAAGAAGTGATAGTTTTCATAGCACTCTTTGCTCCAAGAGATAAAACTGCCTAAAACAGCATTGTCACTTGCAGCATAAACTTACAAAAAGAAGCATTAAAAAAAAAAAAAAACAAGACTTCAGCATCCAGATACTGTTGAAGATTGATTCAAGTGATAATTCAGTACGTTTAAATTTACTTTACATCAACTACTTACCTTTTGGTTCAAACCGTTCTCATCCAATACAAATCCATGTGTTATGACACTGGAATATACTGGCATTGCTGAAACTATTTAAATTACATACCCTTGCACTTTTGAGTATTGCATCCTAGCTGACTAAAAGTAGCACAATGAGAATGCAAACCAGACTTAGATTGGTTGCTATCTTCTTGTTATTAGCAAGTAAATAGAGAAACTTCTTGTATAGCAGCACAAGGTAGAGCTGAAAAGGTTAAACAATAACTGTATTAATACCTGAATCAAACCACACATGCACTGTATCAGTCCCCTTTTCATATTCAGATGCCTTATCATGATATTTATCAGGGAGAAGATCCTTCACCTTCATGTACCACCACGCATCGCTACCCTTTTCGGATATTATCGCTGCAAAAATAGATGACTGAAGGAATCAAAATTTAATCTATTGAATACACCATTCATCTTTAAAATAATTAAAATTGGGCTAATCAGTAGAGCAGTCTTTGTATATATGGATATTGATTGATTGAACTATCTAGCTATCTTCATATATGTACTAAAAGCACACAAATACACACCTGTGTTTGCAGAGTCACAGACAGACAACATGCATTTGCAAAAGTGAAAATATCCCCAACTGATGCTCAAAATTAAAGCAAATATCAACTTCTATAAGATCTTAATTAGGCACTAATATTTGGAAATACGTAGACAGAAAGAGGAAGTGTGTATCTAACTGGCTCTTCCACTTGATATGCTCAATAGTCTCTTCATTCATCAAGAGTTTCCTTTGACCCCACAGGATAAAAGACTGGAATTAGAACACTCCATGTTCCCTGCCGTGATATACAGCAATCAGAGCGGCTAGAAGTCAATGCACATATTCTGTTTTCTGCCTGAACAAAATGTAAATCCAGACCTATTGCATGGCCAATTACGTGACCAATTGCATCCATAACAGCCTCGCGAAACCCTTCTACTGAATCAAACCATTGCTCAGTTGCCCTAAATATTGTGGGCTTTTTTGGTCTCCAATCATATGGATACTTATGTTCTGCATAACAGCAGGAAGAGCTTGTCACTGACTCAGCTTGCTATAACCCGAATGAAAAAAATAATAAAAAAGTTCCCTCATTATCCGCTAAAGGGAAAGAAAGAAACTTACGGTAGGATTCTTCCATGATAATTGATAAATGTTCATCCAAGTATTTCACAACCGCAATATTACCATCCGCAAGTACATCAAGCCCACAAAACTTTCCAGCTTCTTCAGTGAACTTTCCATCATCATTTACAGGAGAAAGCATGGGTAGTTGGTACTTCTGGCCAGAGACATAATCCTCCAGACCATGTCCAGGAGCTGTATGGACCAGTCCCGTTCCTGATTCCTTTGTAATATGATCTCCTCCAATGACAACTGGGCATCCCTTATTCAAAACTGGATGAACATATCTGAAATAAATACATCTTCTCAATAGGTATCTTTTTAAATCCGTAACCTGCAGTTTTCAAGATCTGACCCGACACCCTTTTCTTAACAAGTGCTTCACACCCATTTTGCTTCTAACACTGGCACAAGATCTGAAGCAACAATAAGGAAAGGCTTATATTTCTTCCTTCAAAAGATTTCCAGGCCCTCCCTTCTGATTTCCATCAGATAAAGAATCTTCTGAGAGTGGCTGTACTTCAACGATGGCATATAAAAGCTTGGCATTCACTGCGATCGCTGTGAAATGAAATGGGGAGAGTAAATTTATTACTTAAATGACCAAGGAAGGTGCTCATATCTACAAGTGAGAATGCTTACGTACGAAAACAAATATTAACTCATTCAAATTACCAGCAAGATGAGAATCCTCAGTTGCGTAGCAAGTTGTATTACAAGTGAGATGACGCGAAGATTTTAATGATACATTCTCTTCAAAGTTAATTCATCAAATTTTCCAACTCAAGCTAATGTTTAATGACAAACAGTTGACACTGTTCCCAAACACAAGGCATAAAACAGATTAAGAACAGAGATAACTGATGAGTTTAGACAAGTCTTGGAAATATTCATTTAATAAGCTGTAAATCTTTAATAGCCTATATAGATTAAAACACAAGTAAGTAACTAACCTGAAGATGCCATGGACGAGAACTTGGTGCGCAAAGAGTCTTCTATGTTGTACTAATCCTTAGCAATCGAACCGTATGGGGAGTTTGTGAATATTGCGTAACTCAGCAAACGCAGGGACCTTTAGTTATATAGGCATGTTAACCTAATAGGCTTAGCCCATCATTGAGACCTAATAGGTAACTAAATATGTCTATATCTCCTTAACCAATCAGGATTAGGAACCCCTTTAGCAAGAATAACAACTTAATATTACATACCTTTTTGCAATAGGTAAAGTCCAAGTTAATTCCCTAATCCTAACTTGATCCTCAAGTAACGTACAATGATTGTGAGACCACAAAATCTTATGAGAATCAGATTTTACTCCAACATTCTCCCACTTGGTCGAAACAAGCATTGTATGAAACTTAACTTAAGAGAAACCAAATCAGAATTACTTTAGTGGCCATGGAAATCACTTAAACTCAAAGTTCCTTATAGCTTCTGTCAATTAGCACAATCACATAGAACTAACAAGTCTATTGGACAAGGGTAACGTCCATAGTCTTCATAATCACATATGTGAGTATGGTTAATCACATGAAGCATCAATAAGTGAGAAAATCGAAATATAAATATTAGACTTGATGTAATATATTGGTATTTTAATTTCTAAGGTCCTCCTTGATCAGACCATGTAAGTCTTCTTAATGCTTCAAATAAAGCCCTCCAAAAACCCAGTCAGTGCTAGCATGATGACTGGTGTAACTGAATCAGAATACCTTAGTTTTCTACCTTTAATGAAAACAGTATCTGGAAATATTCTTCATATCATGTTGTAAATGCTTGTGAAGCATTAACTTTACTTTTTACTTGATAACTGCATTCAAACAGCCACATAGAGGTATAAAACAAACAACAAAATCATAATAAAAATAACTGAAAATGCTTCAAACTTTATAATCCAAACTCACGAACCAACCAAAAGCTAATAGTCTTAGTGACTTAACTCCAAAATCAATGCAAGGGAACTAACTAAAACATGAATCTCCCACTAATTCAGTGCATTAAAATCGAAAACTAAGCCCATGTTTTTCACATGCACATGGAACGCTGCATTAGGAAGAGCTTTATGGAGTGGATCCGCCTACATTGACTTAGTATCAATGTAATCAATTTTAACTTGCTGCTTCATGACTTCCTTGCGAATCATCTTATACTTGAGATCCAAATGCCTAGTTCCATTAGACCTTTTGTTGTTTCGAGCATGGAAAACAGCAGCTTTGTTATCGCACCATAACTGAATGGGCCTAGCAATCGATTTGACAACATTTATGCTAGATATGAAGTTCTTCAACCACACAACTTGTGAAGTGGCTTCATAGCAAGCTACATATTCAGCCTGCATTGTAGACATTGCAACTTCCCCGTGTTTTGCACTTTTCCAAGGCACTGCTCCTCCAGCGAGCATGAAAACGTAGCTGGAAGTAGAGTTGAGAGAATCTGCACACCCCACAAAATCCAAATCCGAGTAGCCAATCAACTCGAGATTAGTGGTCCTTCTATAGCAAAGTTTATAAGTCTTAGTCCTTTTCAAATACCACACAATTTGATCAATAGGACTTTGGACTTAGAGACCACTCAAATCAATTAAGCCGCTACGGCTTGCTTAATCGATATCAAACAAGCCATACCTAAAAACTTGATCAGATATTACTTTATGCATGTCGGATTATTAATCTTTATATCAGACATGTCTTACTAGAACCTGGAAACAATCCGTCATGCAAATATATGTCCAGTTTCAATGTCTTTCAATTAGTCCTTATATTGGCAATACGTTAATTAACATGGCATCCATGCACATCAATATAATAATGTAAGCCCCTCATCCAATTTGCATGCCAGACAATTGAAAAACATAGCAGCCATCATGCGTAATTATTTGAAGACAAAAATGGAACCAGAAAACTATAAACTATAACATGATGAACGACAGAAAAGAACTTTACCGAGTTTTCTAATTTAATTTTGTTTTAAGGTCTTAATCATACAAGCTACACTCTGATACCACATGTAAATCTTTAATAGCCTATATAAATTAAAACACAAGTACGTAACTAACCTGAAGATGCCATGGACGAAAACTTGGTGCGCAAAGAGTCTTCTACGTTGTACTGATCCTTAGCAATCAAACTGTATGGGGAGTTTGTGAATATTGCGTAACTCAGCAAACGCAGGGACCTTCACTTATATAGGCATGTTAACCTAATAGGCTTATCCCATCATTGAGACCTAATAGGCAACTGACTGTGTCTATATCTCCTTAACCAATCAGGATTAGGAACCCCTTTAGCAAGAATTACAATTTAATATTACATTCCTTTTTGCAACAGGTAAAGTCCAAGTTAATTCCCTAATCCTAACTTGATCCTCAAGTAACGTACAATGATTGTGAGCCCAAAAATCTTATGAGAACCGGATTTTACTCCAACATAAGCGACCTGAAGTTGGAGAGAGGCACTCACCAATTTGAAAATGGTGTACACGCTTCTCGAAACGTGCCCCTCTGGATGCTGCATATAAAAGTTTAGGTCAAGTTAACAGGAACTATATGAATACAATGTAAGAAAGCAAAATAAGATAATACATGAAAATTGACATTGTTTTACAAAAGCATCACAAGAAAAGTGACATCATTTTTGCAGAAGGATGGAAAAAACTTTATGAAAGGAATACATGAAGGAATCTATGCTTTCTAGACCAGATCTATAATATTAATTAACTGGAAAATCATGAAGGGCCGTATGAACCGTTTTCTTTGCATAAATAAAGCACATTTGTACATATTTGTGAACATGAGATAGAGACTGCATACATTTCGTAATTTTTATTTGTTCTATCTGAATCCTGTACCGAATTAAAGAAAAAAGACACTCAAAATTCAGACCATAGAGAATGCCGTTGTAAGTCTCTGTGTCACTAACTTTAATACTCATCACAAATTTTAAAAGGAGCCCATTCCAACAGCTGAAAACTGCCTTCCTTTTCCCAGAAACCATGGGAGAACTGTAGGAAGAAGACGAAGCTCGAAATCTCAAACAGAAAGCAGAACATATATAAGGTCCTCCCAAAACTTCCAAGTGCTTCTAGTCTTTCAAAACATTTTCTCGGGAACCAAACAGAAAGTGAACACTCAACTATGAGCTCAAAATAAGTGCTGGTGTCTGCATGTATATCCAATACAGATATATTCCCCGCGTGTCTGTGCGTATACCCATGCGCGGGGAGGGACAGGGACAGGGACATCATTTGCGAGTGTCATGTTTGCATCGTTTTAAAAAAACCAAACTCGCCTATTGCGAGATTTCAAAACTCCAGACAACTCATTCAGTTTTTATTATTACTGAGAAATTAGGTTCTCATCCTTCTTTTTGCTATTCCATTGATTAAAATTCTAGTCCTTTTTAATTTTTGATCAAGGTCCTTAGGTATTAATAACATCATTAATTATTTCAATAATAAAATATTTTTTTATTTCTAAATATATTCATTTAATGTTAAAAATGTTACAATTAGTATATTTATATTTATGACTAAATTTTTTATCATATATATTTAGTTTTAGTTTGTACCCATTTTTAATTTGTAATTCTTTTTTAATTTGTACCAATTTTCTTTTCAGTTTTAATTTGTACCCATATATTAATTTCTTTTTGTGCCCCATATTTTTTAAAGTTTATTTGTATTTGTACCCCTATATTTTTTTTATTTGTACTTTTTATTTTTGCTAAATGTACCCATGCTAATTATATGTACCTATTCATGTAAAACTTTTTATTTTGTTATATGTAGAATGTACCAATTTTTTTATATATAAAATCTATCCAATTTTTTTTAATCCATTTTTAAACTTATATGGGTACATTCTTTTTTCTTTCATTTTAAAATGTATCCATGTTAAGTTTAATCGAAGAAATTTACTAATGTTATTAAGCCTAATATGTAACAACCCGTCCCTAAATTTATGTTTTACATTTATATATATATATATATATGTATATATGCTTTACATTTTTATATATATAAAACCAAAAGCCCACTCACCTGGATTTCGTGCTATCAAATCATGTCTCATAAATCTTATTGAAAGAACACGTAACTTACATAAAATACATTCCCAAGGGCGTTCTAGAATGATTTGAGACCCATTGACCAAAAGTCAACCGTCGGTCAAAGGTTGACGGTAGGGTCCATAACCCTACGTAACTCGATTTGGAAGATCCGCACCTCGGATTTTCAATCCATTATTTCCAAAGATCCACATTATACTTCTATAGTAACATACTAAAATCTTACTACGATCCGAAGGTCGGATCTCCGCTAATATTTGGAACTACGTAGACAGAAAGAGGAAGTGTGTATCTAACTGGCTCTTCCACTTGATATGCTCAATAGTCTCTTCATTCATCAAGAGTTTCCTTTGACTCCACAGGATAAAAGACTGGAATTAGAACACTGCATGTTCCCTACCGTGATATACAGCAATCAGAGCGGCTAGAAGTCAATGCACATATTCTGTATTCTGCTTGAACAAAATGTAAATCCAGACCTATTGCATGGCCAATTACATGACCAATTGCATCCATAACAGCCTCGCGAAACCCCTCTACTGAATCAAACCATTGCTCAGTTGCCCTAAATATTGTGGGCCTTTTTGGTCTCCAATCATATGGATACTTATGTTCTGCATAACAGCAGGAAGAGCTTGTCACTGACTCAGCTTGCTATAACCCGAATGAAAAAATTAATAAAAAAGTTCCCTCATTATCCGCTAAGGGGAAAGAAAGAAACTCACGGTAGGATTCTTCCATGATAATTGATAAATGTTCATCCAAGTATTTCACAACAGCAATATTACCATCCGCAAGTACATCAAGCCCACAAAACTTTCCAGCTTCTTCAGTGAATTTTCCATCATCATTTACAGGAGAAAGCATGGGTAGTTGGTACTTCTGGCCAGAGACATAATCCTCCAGACCATGTCCAGGAGCTGTATGGACCAGTCCCGTTCCTGATTCCTTTGTAATATGATCTCCTCCAATGACAACTGGGCATCCCTTATTCAAAACTGGATGAACATATCTGAAATGAAAAGTAGAAATCACACCTCAGTCAATAGTTTGTTGGATAATGGCCAAATGTTTCCTTGTTTTGTGGCTTGTTTTGTGGCTTAAATTGCTCCATGTTTTGTGGCTTTTTCAAAGCCATGTTTTGTGGCTTTTTTCAAAGCCATGTTTTGTGGGAGAAGGCTTGGATTAAGAAAAGCATAAAAAGAGAGCATTTGGCAAAACAAGGATACGGATGGGAGAGATGTAAAGCATCCAAAGAGATGGTGAGAGCATTTGGCTCTACCATGAATATGGGTTGAGAGAAAATCAAGAGAGCTAGAGTGAAAAGTATTCTAGTGAAAGAACTCTTGGGGTAGAGTGAGGCTCTTGGGAAAATTCTGTGAGTGGGTGTACAAGGGATATGGGATTGGGTTATGTCGATTTAACTCATGTGTAACTTGTACTGTTTTTTTTCTCATAGTGAAGAGCAATATCTCTCCGAGGACGTAGGCAGTTTTTTGCCGAACCTCGTAAATTTCTCTGTGTCTTTATTTCTTGTATTTTATTTTGTTCAACTGTGAGTGATTTTTGGTGAGGTTGTAATCTGAATCTCGGTTCCGCACTAACGAACGGGCCAAGGCACAACAATTGGTATCAGAGCATCGTTGGGGGCTTTGGTTCGTTGGAGGTCCAGATTTGTTGTTCACCATGGAATTTTCAGTTGAGCAGTTTAAAGGGAGAGGCGGTTTTGCTCTTGGTAAAGGAGAGTAATGGAAGCCTGAAGAAATGGAAGCCGTGTTTAGGGATGCTTGGATCAACTGCGAAAGTTGATGTTGAGGAAGAAGACAAAGGCCTCTTTCTTCTTACCTCACTTTCAGATTTGTACGAGAACCTTGTGAAACTTTACTGCAAGGAAAGAAACAGTAAGTTTGGAGCAGGTGCAAGCTTCTTTGGTGTGGAATAATACACACAAGAGACCATGGATGATGGTGGGCACAAGACTGCTTAAGCTATTCAAGGTTGAAATCGTGGAAGAAAATTGGAAAGAGGATCTGAGAGAGACAGCAGGTTCGGATCCGGTTCCAGAGGCAAGGGTCCACAGTGCTACGGGTGCAAGGCCGGGTTAGCAAGTTGGTGGTGGAAGACTTTGAGTATGCCCTCTAGGTACTCGAAGCAACACTTCTCCTGGTGATGTTTAGTCTCAAGTGTTGCAGGGGTTTTGCAGCAGGTGGAGCTATGGGATTCACAGGTGATAAGAAGGTCCTGAGGTAGGAGGAAGTGGAGGAATGTTTGTCTGGCTCGACGGGCGTTGCTGGAAATGGGTGCACTGACGAGTTTCCAGGTTACAGACAATGAAGAGGAGGAAATCCTGCTGGAGGAGACGAGGATGTGTTGAGATCCTGTCTGAAGCTAAATGGTGATTTTTAGCTTGCAGCAGCTGCACATGCATTTGCAGTGACTGAATCGGAACAGGACCAACGAGGTTGATTCAGAGTGTGCATGCTGGTACGTAAGGCCAATGGACTTTGGTACAATTTGGCCAAGGTGGAGATTGTTGGATAATGGCCAAATGTTTCCTTGTTTTGTGGCTTGTTTTGTGGCTTAAATTGCTCCATGTTTTGTGGCTTTTTCAAAGCCATGTTTTGTGGCTTTTTTCAAAGCCATGTTTTGTGGGAGAAGGCTTGGATTAAGAAAAGCATAAAAAGAGAGCATTTGGCAAAACAAGGATACGGATGGGAGAGATGTAAAGCATCCAAAGAGATGGTGAGAGCATTTGGCTCTACCATGAATATGGGTTGAGAGAAAATCAAGAGAGCTAGAGTGAAAAGTATTCTAGTGAAAGAACTCTTGGGGTAGAGTGAGGCTCTTGGGAAAATTCTGTGAGTGGGTGTACAAGGGATATGGGATTGGGTTTCCAGGCCTTCCCTTCTGATTTCCATCAGATAAAGAATCTTCTGAGAGTGGCTGTACTTCAACGATGGCATATAAAAGCTTGGCATTCACTGCGATCGCTGTGAAATGAAATGGGGAGAGTAAATTTATTACTTAAATGACCAAGGAAGGTGCTCATATCTACAAGTGAGAATGCTTACGTAGGAAAACAAATATTAATTCATTCAAATTACCAGCAAGATGAGAATCCTCAGTTGCGTAGCAAGTTGTATTACAAGTGAGATGACGCGAAGATTTTAATGATACATTCTCTTCAAAGTTAATTCATCAAATTTTCCAACTCAAGCTAATGTTTAATGACAAACAGTTGACACTGTTCCCAAACACGAGGCATAAAACAGATTAAGAACAGAGATAACTGATGAGTTTAGACAAGTCTTGGAAATATTCATTTAATAAGCTGTAAACCTTTAATAGCCTGTATAGATTAAAACACAAGTAAGTAACTAACCTGAAGATGCCATGGACGAGAACTTGGTGCGCAAAGAGTCTTCTATGTTGTACTAATCCTTAGCAATCGAACCGTATGGGGAGTTTGTGAATATTGTTAACTCAGCAAACGCAGGGCCCTTTACTTATATAGGCATGTTAACCTAATAGGCTTAGCCCATCATTGAGACCTAATAGGTAACTGAATATGTCTATATCTCCTTAACCAATCAGGATTAGGAACCCCTTTAGCAAGAATAACAACTTAATATTACATTCCTTTTTGCAACAGGTAAAGTCCAAGTTAATTCCCTAATCCTAACTTGATCCTCAAGTAACATACAATGATTGTGAGACCACAAAATCTTATGAGAATCGAATTTTACTCCAACATTCTCCCACTTGGTCGAAACAAGCATTGTATGAAACTTAACTTAAGAGAAACCAAATCAGGATTACTTTAGTGGCCATGGAAATCACTTAAACTCAAAGCTCCTTATAGCTTCTGTCAATTAGCACAATCACATAGAACTAACAAGTCCATTGGACAAGGGTAACGTCCATAGTCTTCATAATCACATATGTGAGTATGGTTAATCACATGGAACATCAATAAGTAAGAAAATCGAAATATAAATATCAGACTTGATGTAATATATTGGTATTTTAATTTGTAAGGTCCTCCTTGATCAGACCATGTAAGTCTACTTAATGCTTCAAATGAATCCCTCCAAAAATTGTTAAATGAATGAAGAAGAATGACTGAAACCTTATGTCCAAAAACCCAATCAGTGCTAGCATGATGACTGGTGTAACTGAATCAGAATACCTT